GAGCTTGCAGGGCCCAGCGGCGTTTCTCGTTCAACGACGAAGCACGCTTGTGTTTAAGAGCGCCCCGAACTTTAGCGGCAGCCGTGCGCGTGGCCTCCTTGACTTTTTCAAGGCGGGGCAGAGCCTCAAGGTCCACGGGGGTCTCCGAGATGGCAGTCTCCAAAAAGATGCCGAACTCCTCGCGACAAGCAATCCACTTGGGCACAGAGGGGGGGAAGAGTCTGGTCGGCATGGTTCGGTTCAATGCTAGGGGGGGAATGCGGTCACTCGGCACCTTGGCCTTGAGTATGCCAACAAGTGGCACGTGTGCCATGGCCCTTGCACACAAGGAAGGGGGAGGAAGAGGAGGTGGAGGAGGGGGGGGGAGAAGGGGCAAGACATCGCCCCTCGGGGCCCAGCAACGGGGCCCAAATCCCAGGCGGGGAGAGGGGGGGGGCGGCGGGCGGCGCGACGCGGAATGAGGTGCCCGGAGCGGAGGGGGCACGGGGCGGAGGTCCCGCTGGGGCGCTAGGGGCGCAGAGAGGAGGGGGGGGGGCGCGTCGCGACGCGGGAATAAAATTGCGGTCGGGGCGGAGGGGGCATTGGGCGGGGCTTGGGGCAGAGGGCCACGGGGCGGGGGTCCAACTGGGGCGCTGGGGACGGGGGGGGGGGAGCGTGCGTCGCGACGCGGAATGCAATTGTCGGGGCGGAGGGGCGGAGCACCCGCTGGGGCGCCGGGGGCGCGGGGAGGGGAGCGGGGGTGGTGGTGTGAGCCGCGACGCGGAATAGAGCGTTCGTGGCGGAGGGGGCAGCGGGCGGGCCCCCCCCTGGGGCGCTGGGGGCGCGGGCAGGCTCGGGGCAGAGAGCCGCGGCGCGGCGGTCCCACTCTGGCGCTGGGGGCGCGGGGGGGGCGGGGGGGCGCGTTGCGCGGAATAAAACGTTCGTGGCGGAGAGGGCAGCGGGCGGGGCCATCGCTGGGGCGCTGGGGGCGCGGGGAAGCTCGGGGCAGAGAGCCACGGCGCGGCGGCCCCACTCTGGCGCTGGGGGCGCGGGGGGGGGGGGGGAGGGTGGGCGACGCGGAACTGGGGCGCTGGGGGCGCGGCGAGGCTCGGGGCAGAGAGCCGCGGCGCGGGGGCCCGACTCTGGCGCTGGGGGCGCGGGGTGGGGGGGGGAAGGGGGGGTGGGGGTAAATGGGTGTGGTGCGACGCGGAATAATGCGTTCGCGGCTGAGGGGGCAGTGGGCGGGGCCCACGCTGGGGCGCTGGGGACGCGGTGGGGCGCGGGGCAGAGAGCCGCGGCGCGGTGGTCCCAAACTGGCAATGTGGACGCGGGGGGGGCGGGGGGTGTGCGACGCGGAATAAAGCGTTCGTGGCGGACGGGCGCAGCGGGCGGGGCCCCCGCTGGGGCGCTGGGGACGCGGGGGGGCGCGGGGCAGAGTGCCGCGGCGCGGTGTCCCACTCTGGCGCCGGGGGCGCGAGGGGAGGGGGCGTGTGCGGCGCGGAATAAAGCGGTCGTGGCGGAGGGGGGGGGCAGCGGGCGGGGCCCCTGCTGGGGCGCTGGGGGCGCGGGGAGGCTCGGGGCAGAGAGCCGCGGCGCGGTGGTCCCAATCTGGCGTTGGGGACGCGGGGGGAGGGGGCGTGCGCGACGCGGAATAAAGCGTTCGCGGCGGAGGGGGCAGCGGCCGGGCACCCCGCTGGGGCGCTGGGGGCGCGGGGAGGCCCGGGGCAGAGAGCCGCGGCGCGGGGGTTTCACGCTGGCGCTGGGGACGCGGGGGGAGGTGGGCGTGCGACGCGGAATGAAGTTGTCGGAGCTCTAGACGCCCTGTGCAAGTGAATAACTCCAGGCGGAACCTTAAAGCACTGCCAGCGGCAACGAAGAGCGCGCGCGGCCAATCGAGTTCGTCTGGGTAACCCGTCCTGGAATCAATTCAATATGTTGGGTGACAGGGAAGAGGCGAGTAATGCCAAGGCCCAGGATAGTAATGGCACCACCTTCGCGCTGGCGATCAAGGAGGAGCGAGTGGCCCATGTTGAAGCCATCCACGGAAGGGTTCAGCTCGCGACGGAGCTCACCGATATCGCCTATCTGTCCATGAGTTCCCTGACAACATGTCTCCTGGAACTGACGAGCGAGGGGGCGGAGGGGCCTGAAGCGAGCGCTGGCCCGCCAACTGCTGTTGCGGACTGAGCTAAAGAGTCCGCGGGAGTTCCGCGGGCAGACAGACAACTTGCAGGAGGGGTCGCAGGGGGGGCAATTCGAGTGAGGAAGAGGTCTAGACCCAACGTCACTGTCGCTGCACGCATGCGTTGAGGAAGGAGCGCGGCGAATCTGGAAATCCAAACGTTCGCCTCGCTGCAGCGAGCAGCCTCCTGCAGCGCCGAAAGGGCTCGCGGATCTGAACGGCGGCCGCCTCGCGAAGCTGATCCTTCAGCTCCGAGATGCCCAGGGCCGCGAGGCCGTCGTCGTGGAACTCGATCTTGGCGGCC